TTCTCACCCTCAACGCCACATAACAAACTGCTGGAAACTGAAAGCCGTCGACTGGCCGTCCATAGAGGACTGGCCAAATAAATTATGAATGCTGCCACACAATGAAATACCGCACAGCACTGAAGGAAATGAAGCAGATATGCGCAGACTCGGAATGATGTCCAGGATATATTGTTAAGAGAAAAGAAAAGCAAGTTTGGGAATAATAGGAAGCGTATCATCATTTTTGTTAAAAAAAATCCCAAGCAGTATTTATCTATAAATGTCCTGCTGTGTATATTGCATGTATTAAAAGCAGATCAGAAAGATGGAGCTGGGCACAGGCCACCCCGACCACCGTGTTTGAACTGCTCCCTGCCCCTTCCCCTCAGCATTCCTAATCCCCTGACTTTGTTCTGCATTTTCTTTTTTCATAGCACTTAACATATGCTAACATTTTATATATTTACCTAGTTATTATGTTTATTCCGTATTGTATGTTTCTCTTCCTTCCACTAGAATGGAAGGTCACCCACGGCCAGGATCTTCGTCTGGTCAGTATTTGGGACACCGTGGGTGCTCAGTACATAAGTGCTGACTCAGTGAATCAGATGGTCCTGGGGGAGGGTGAAGGGAGAGACGTTTGCTTTTTATTAATATTCCAAACACAGTGGTGAGATTATGGGTTATTTTTACTTTCTTTTTTATGATGTTATATTTTCTAATTTTCCTATAATCAATATGCATTATTCTTACAATCAGAAAAAAAAAATAAAGTCTTCTAGGAACAGTTGCAAGTGCTGCCCCCCCGCAGGGCTCCTGGTGCTGGGACCCTGCCCCTGTGGGGGGCTCCTGGGCTCCTTCGCAGCCATGCCCTCGCTCAGCAAAGCTTGGCTTTGGCTTTCCGGGATCTGTAGCCCCCGGTCTGTTCCCCTCCCCCTCCACCTGGCTCTGGGTGCCCCCCACAGCTTGGGCCTGGCCTCCCTTTCTAGGCTCCACTCTCAGCAGACCATTCTGTGGACACACTGAACACTCCCACCTCTGGGCCTTGATTCAAGCCAGCCCAGCCCCTGGAATGCTCTCCTCAGCCCCCATCCACACCTCCTAAGTTCCTACCACCCTTCTAGACCCAGTGCTAGGCCCACTTCCTTGGGAAAGCTGCCCTACAGCAGAACTGACTTCTCCTGCCCTGGTCCTCTCACAGACCCTGGGCCAGTGTGATGGTGAATCCAAACCTGCCCTGCACGAGAGCTCCTGTGTCCATGCGCCTTTCACGGGACTGAGCCTGGAGGGCAGGGAGCATTTCTTCTCTATCTCATCTGTCTCTTTCCCATGTCTCTTTGCATCTCTTGGTCTCCCCCAGCCCCTGCCTCTGTCTGTCTGTCTCCTCCCTCTTCTCTCTCTTTCCTCAATCCTCCTTCCATCCAGCCTTCCCCATCGGCTGCCTCTCTTCCTGCCCCATTGCTGGCCCTTCCATCAATCAGGAAGGCCTGTGCTATGCTAGATCCATGAAGGAGATCCTCCCAGATGCAGATGCAGGGACCTTGGAGCTACAGGGATGGAGCCCCCTGACCCTTGCTGTGTCCCAGGCTGCTGGCCCTGTGGCCTGCTGAGCTACCTCGGGGAGTCCCACTGCAAGCCCAAGGTTGACCCCCAGGGGCTGGTCCCTGAGAGCAGCCTTCCATCAGTGCCTCCCTGGGAGTGGATCTGGCAACAGAGAGGAGCCTGCAGGGGATGCCTGGAGCAGTTTGAGCCAGGGTTCAGTCCCAGAACAAATCCCACAGCCTTGAAAAATAGCAAGGATTGGCAGTCAGGAGGGGCTCCCGACTGGGTGCAGCATTCAAACCCTGAGTGTGGGAGGCAGACAGTCGTGAGAGGCGCAGAGGCATCCCACCCAATGGGATGAGAGGAGACCCAGTGAGGCCCGTAACATATGTCTTAAAATAGCAGAGGCGGCCCATGGGATGTGGGGAAGGAGAACCCAGCCCCCGTCCTGGCCTCGCCATTGATTTGCTCTGTGAGCCTCGATTTCCTTATCTGTACAATGGGGTGGGGGCTGATAGCCAGATACCTGGATAAACATCCCATCTACGATACCATGGCAGTCACCTGGGTGTGGACAGCCTCACTTGGGTCACCAGGTAACTGAAGGGACGTAGTTGTCCAGTAAGAAAGAGGCAGAGCAGGAGGACCTTGGCTGGCCCCACACAGAGCAGCTATGGGAGGTCCAGCAGTCAAGTCACAGTGGTCAAGAACTCAGACTGTGGTGTCCAAGGAGTTGAGGTCCAAATCCAGCCCTCCCCACTTTCTAGAGGTGTGATTTGGAGCAGTTACTTAACCTGAGCCTCAGTTTCCTGACCTGTAAAATGGGGACAACGATTCCTAATTCATCACGTTGTGGTGAGAACTGAATGAGGAATCTCATACAACAGCTCTGAGCCCCGGGCCTGCACACATTAAGTGCTTGATTACTGTTGGCTGCCGTTCTTTTTTTTTTTTTTTTGTGAGGAGGTCTAGCCCTGAGCTAACATCCAACGCCAATCCTCCCCTTTTATCTTGAGGAAGATTGGCCCTGAGCTAACATCCGTGCCCATCTTCCTCCACTTTATATGGGACGCTGCCACAGCATGGCTTGACAAGTGGTGCGTCGGTGTGCGCCTGGGATCCGTCCGAACCTGCGAATCCCAGGCCGCCGAAGCAGAGTGCGCGCACTTAACTGCTTGCGCCACCGGGTCAGCCCCTTGGCTACCGCTCTTTTGTAAGAGAAGACTCTGTACTTGAAAGTCGTCTTGTACCTTTAGGGCCAGCCTAGAAGAGGGCCGCCTTACAAGTGGTGGACCTCCAACTGCAGGCCAACCCCTCCAGGGTGAAAGAGCCCAGGAACGTGCTCATTTAACCAGGCCCTGGGTCCCCCAAATATTTATGCTTCTTTTCCAGACTACATAGATATTATGAGTTTCCTATAAAAATTGAAACACACACGCAGAAACATATAGAAGAAAGTAAGAATCACATAGGCAGGTCTGGATTTGAATCCCAGCTCTGCCATTTACCTCTCATGTGACCTTGGGCAGGTTTCTTAATTGTTCTGATCCTCAGTTTCCCCATGTGTAAGATGGGAATAAATAACACCCATCTCACAGGGTAGGCATGAGGATGAAATGAAGTACAAAGGGGAAAGTACCACTGGGGCCAGAATGAGTAAGAGTTACTATATTAATCCAGACACTCAGAGAGAGTCTCTGTTCACACTTTTTGCATTTTCTTTCAGTTTTTTTCTATGCACATATGATGTGTGTATAATATTAACATACATATATTTATTAATTTGAGGCCATATTGCTTGTTATTTTTATGTTAATATTATATCACATCGTGAGGTGCTAACACATGAGGGAGGGTATCTGATTTTGAACCTAGGTGTATTTGACTCAAATGCTTTCTTAACCATTGTGTTTTAGTAAAGACACTCTTGGCTCCCCACCCAGTGTTTCTCAACATTTTTTCTATTATTGCCCCTGCTCCTCAAGAAGACTTTTCAGACTTTTATTCCCCTAATTCCCTCCCCCAATGTATTTCTTTAAAAAACATTTTATTTTGAAATAATTATAGATTCACAGAAAGTTGCAAAGATAGTAGAGAGAGATCCTGTGTACCTTTTAGCCAGTCTCCCCCAGTGGTTACATCTGATGTAACTACAACACAGTATCAAAACCAGGAAATGGACAGTGGTACAACGTGTGTGTGGTTTCATGTCATTTATGTGTAGATTTGTGCAACCACCGCCACAATCAAGATCCAGAACTGCTCCATCACCACAAAGATCTCCCCTGGGCTGTCCCTTTATGGTCACTCATCCCTCTCCTGGTCACCATTTCTAACTCCTGGCAACCACTGATCTATTTTCTGTCTCTATATTTTTGTCTTTTTGAGAATATTATATAAATGGAATCATTGGCATGTGACTTTTTTTTCACTCACCATAATGCCGTTGAGAGTGCTGCATGTATCAGTAGTTCATTCCTTTTTATTGCTCAGTAATATTCCATGGTGTGGATGGACCACAGTTTGCTGAACCATAAACCTATTGAAGGACATCTAGGTTGTTTCCAGTTTGGGCTATCACAGATAAGGCTACTATGAACAATCTTCAATAGATTTTTATGTGGACATGTTTTCATTTATCTGGGATAAATGCCCAGGAGTGCAATTGCTGGGTCTTACAGTAGTTGTATGTTTAGTTTTTTGTTTTTAAAAGAAACTGCCAAACTATTTTCCAGAGTAACTGTACCATTTTACATTCCCACCAGCAATGAATGAGAGATCCAGTTTCTCTGCATCCTTGCCAGCATTTGGTATTGTCATTATTTTTTATTTTAGCTGTTCTAATAGATATGTAGTGATATCTCATAAATACTACAGATATACTGTATATCTGGTTATGTACTGTATGTATACCTGTGTATTTATACATTTAATAAAAGAGTAGGATTTTTTCACTCCCCCTCCCCCAGCCAAGAACCAATTTTTGCCCCCTTGGGGGTGCCATCACTCATGCTGAGAATGCATGGCTTCCCCAAGCCTTCGGTACAGGGCAAGGCACCAGGGGTTTGGTGAGACTTTAAGCGCTGAGCCAACTCTCAAGAGGCCAGGGAAACAGCTGGTTCGGACAAGTTTGGTGCAGGCCAATGTTTGAAAAACAAGGCCACAGCCTTGGACAAATGGATGATTAAATACTCTGACCCCAAGGTGAACCAGTTCCACAGAGGCACCAGGGTGGGGACCCCTGCAAGGGGTGGGGCATGAAAACCTCCCTCTTGAGCTCAGCTCCATCTCCGAGCAGGGTTGCCTCCGATAGCTGGTGTCCGCCATGACTGTTGCAGTAACGCGGTACTGGTCGGCGCTCGGGCTGTGAGTCCTGCCTCACTCGGCATGCTGCGGGATGCAGTTTCAGGACCCACTGTCCTGACAACAGCTCACTGCATGTTCCCCCCATCCCATCCCCTGGGGCCCTGACTCACCCAAGCCGAAGTGTGCCACAGGCTCCATCTCGCACAGGTAACCCGAGCCCCCGTCGATGATCCTCAGGTGGGCCCCGCTCTTCTTGGTGTAGAGCACAACCTTAGCCCCCCTGGCGAAGGCCCCAAACCGGGTCCGTGGCACCACTCGCAGCCAGTTGTTGCTGAAGCCCTGGAGGAGGGAGGAAGGCAGGCCCTGGCATGAGGGGGGAGGAGGGAGGGAGGGAAACAGAGGGAGAGAGGAGAAAGAGGAAGAGAAGAAAAGGGGCAGGGGAAAGAGAGGAGGAGGAAGCCGGGCAGGGAAGGTGAGCAAGGCACACAGACTGGGTGAAGTCTGGAAAGAGAGGTGCTGGAAAAACAGGAGGGAAAGCCGATATTCAGGAAGAACGGTTTTTTGGGCGAGAGATGCCAGTGGAAGGCAGACGGGCAAAGGGCTTTTCCCGGGAGGCAGCTCTTCTAGGACGTTTACTGTGTTGCTGGGAATTTATTTGCGTCCTCCAGGCCCCGGGATTTCCACCTCCCACTGGTCAAGGAAGCACCCGGGGCTCCTCCACCTTCATCCACCCTAAGCCCCGGGGAGCACATCGGGTTGGATTCCACAGGTGCCGAGGTCCACGCACACCTGGTTTCCCCGGAAGACGGACAGCGGCTGAGCCATGGACTCTCCGTGGGACAAGATGAGGTCCAGCATCCCGTCTCCGTCGAAGTCCGTCACCACACCCCCTGCAACAACACAGATTTCACTCTGACTGTCAGCCAGGAGACCCAAGAAGGGGAGGGGCTCCCCAGCAGTGCCATGTCGTGACGCACGTGCCTGAGTGTGGGGCAGAGAAGAGCACAGCCCCGGGGCAGGAGACTGGAGCTCGAAGCCCATCTCCTTTCCTTTCTAACAGCCAGCTCACGGTAGGAATTCACGGAAGAGGGGCTCCCTTTCCTCTCTCATGGAGAGAGTGGGCGCAAACTACTCAGACCCTGAGGACTTCTTTCTGGTCTTTCTAGATACACACACTTTGTATTTGCACAGCTTTTGTCAATCTATCCAGTGTTTGAGTATACATGATCTCCTTTGGGTCCTCACTACAACCCAGAGAGGAGAGGAGGGCAGATGGAATTATCCCCATTTGATGGATGTGGAGACCAGAAGATAAAAGAACTTTTCCAAGACCACATGCAAGACAACGGAGGACTGGGTCTTGGGACTTCTAATCCAGTGCTCTTTCTCTGACACCAGGCTTAGTGCCAACAGGGGAAGGGTCAGACCGCAGGACCCCCCAGCCTCTCCTTTCCATCCCCACCCATTACTAGAGAAGCTACTGCTCGTGGATTCCCAGGCCCCTGCCCTGCCGCAGAGTGGGACTGGGAGAATGGCCCATCCCCTCCTCTGCTTCCTGCCTGGCACTCCCAGGGGCTCCTCCAGCTCCATCTTCACGCCTGCCCTAAGGTCTCTGCCCTCAGAGAGGCAGGGACAGAAGGAGCCCTGCCATGAGATTCTGCCCCATCCCTCCCGCCCTCACCCCAGAGTGTGGGCAGCGCTGAGATCGGGGAGGGCAGGCCAGAGCCCTCAGGCGCCCTCACCTGTGCCCCGGCCCTCGGGCTCCAAGGCATCGCCAGGATTGAGCTCCTCGATGAGAGGGTCACCGTGTTCCCTGCGGATGACACTGCAGGAGAGGAGACAGGCCCGCGCATGGATGAGTAACAAGCTGGCGGGGCCCCAGTTGGCCCCCTGGACCTAGAGGCCCACTCGCTCCATTCTCTGTCCCCTGAGTGTCCCTGGATCCTGCTGTGCGTGGCCTGCCACCTGGATGCCTACAGAGCCACTCTCTGCTCACAGACCCTGCCTGTTCCCTTCTTGGGTTTTAATTTATGTTGGTAAATATTGATTTCTCCTTGTCTAATGGATGAATTATAGACAGCCTGGGCAAGGGCAGCTGATGGATCGACAAGGGGCAGGGACACAGCTACCTTCAACTGACCTTCGCTTTCCTTCAAGGGCCTCTGTGTTTCTGAGTTCTGGATGCTACCCAGGGTTCAACCCCCACTCAAATGCCACCTCCTGCAAGCCCTCCCTGATCGTCCTGCTAGCAGCAACGCCTTCCTGCTCTGCCGTTATCACTCTCTGCCTGTGTTAAAGCTCTGTGTGATGCATCTTATCTCCTCAGTTAGACTGGGAGCTCTCTGCAGCTGGGACCAGTATTATTCACCTTTGCATCTCCCACAGCCTCTAACACAGTGCCTGGCTCTCAGGAAGCCCCAAGAACATGTCCGTGGGATGCAGGGATGAATTCCAGAGGCAAAAGGGAGGAAAGGGGTCCCTTTGGGTTGCGGGGGTTCTGTCTATTTTGAACTCTGAATCGTGGAAATACTTGCTTCAGAAACGTCCATTGTGGAAGTCCAGCTCTTTCTCCACACTGAGGTGAATGCTGATGATGGTGGCGAGCTTTCCTCTCTAATTTTTCTCGCTCATTAGATTCTTGCAGCCTTGGGTGCTCTGCCCTGGATGTGTGCAGCAGTGCTGGGGGGAGGCAGAGGGCCAGGAGGATCTGTATCACTCCTCCCTGCCCCAATGCAGGTGGCTGTTGTCTACCCAAATCACAGAGAGTCACCAGAGGGCTGTGATGTGGCCGGTTTTCCAGGAGGGGGCTGGGGTCCCCTGAGTTGGAGCCTATGGTGGCTGGATGGCAGGGAGTGCTGGCAGAACTGCAGGGTGTCTGCGGGGTGTAGCAGACGCCCAGGGCGGGGGTGTCCTCTGTCCACAGGGCATCTGTGCTGAGCACATCCATGTGTGCAGTCGGGGCAGCAGGCAGCGTGCCTGGTGGGCACCGGCTGTGCGCACACCTGCTGGAGGTGTGTATGTCTCAGCTTGCTCACACCACAGTCCCTTTGACCACTCATGTGCTGCAGACTCTGCCACAGCTGGGCAGACACCCCCTGGTTCAGGTGACAATGCAGTTAAGGGTTCCTAAGGATAGAGCCCAGCAGTTCCGCTGTACGTACTCATTGAACAAATTCTTCTGCAGCAACCTCTGTGTGCCGGGCACTGCGTGGGGGCCTATAGCTATGGTGTGTCTCAGAGTCTGTGAGGACAGGGAATCCCACGCACAGCGCTGAAGGCCGACAGGGAGTGTGGGGCTGAGGGGAGTGCAGAGCTGGGCAAGCTCACCCAGATTTGGACAACCAGGGCAGGCTTCCTGGAGGAAGGGCCAAGTAAGCTGAGACCAGAACGATGCCTGAGTACCTGTCACTCAGAGGAAGAGGGAGGAGCGAGGGGTAGAGGGTGTGGGTAGTGTGAGGGTCTGGGCCTGGCCTAGCCCAGAACTGAAAGAAGCTGGGGGGTGTCTGGTGCTTAGGTGTAAATGCAGGACCATGTGGGACAGATCAGAGAAGGCAATGGGGCGCTGCTATAGGGTTTAGGTGGAAGAGGGGTGTGGCTGGATTTGCATTTTCAACAGCTTGCTCTGCGGGAGTAGACACAGGGAGCCGGCTGGAGGCGGGAGCAGGAACCCCCCTGAGAGAGAGACCGGAGTGGTGTGGTGGAGGGGTGGAGGGAGGAGAGCAGATCAGAGGCATGTTTAGTGGTGTAAGTTGTGTGACCACACATCTCCCAGTTGGCCTGGGGGCGTCTCATTTATGCCTGTTGTCCCACCATTAGTAACAGGCCCCCTTGACCTCTAGTTAAGCATCGGTTTGGGCGATGAGTCCCCTGGTCACCCTAGGCGTCACTGAAGGACTTGCAGACTCAGCCACACCTGAAGCTTTGAGTCCCCAGTGCCTCCTCCAAGGAGCCCACAATGTTCCCCTCAGCGACAGGTGAAAAGCCCACACGGTGTGGGACAAGTTGGGGCTCAGCTTCCAGAGTTGCCGCTGAGTGGCAGCCCCCGCTGTAGCCCCCACACTCTCTGCTGTGTGCTCGGACCCCAGCCATCTGCCACGGGGACTTGGGGCACAGCCAGGTGTACCTGGGAAGTGGCTTCTGCTGCCACCGCGTGGAAACAAACACAGTAACCCACGGGGTGACCACGTGGTGACCCTGTTCACGGGCAGCCCTGGGCCAGCCCACCCTAGGGTGGCCGGAGGGAGGCTGGGAGGTTTGACAGGTGGGCAGGCAGGCGGGGAGGAGAGGTGCCTGGGTTCTCGGGCCACAGAGATGAGAGCACTAGACTTCTGGGTGCTCAGGGGCCCTGGCGAGTGACACTTTATTAGCCCGAGAAGGAAAGCAGTGTCTCTGTTAACGAGCAATTGGTCTTCTGCAATTAATCTGGAAGTTGTGAATAAGCTTTTTGCAAGGCACCTAATTAGTAAATCTGGTGCCTTCGGGGGGTGATTACATCCAGTGAGGATTGATGCTTTGTTAATAATTATATTTTAAAACATGCTTAGTCACAGCTCTCGGCTTTTACTAATAGTTGGGGCCCTCCTGGGGGAGGGGATGGGGCCTTGGGAGCCAAGCAGGTGGTCTGGCCCATTTCCTGAGTCCAGGCCCCAGGCCCACCCTCCTCTCCCTACCTGGTCCTGAGCCCCATTAGCGTGTTTTAGGCCAGGAACAGGGCCATCTCAGGCCACATGAGTCCTGAGGTTTTTCCCAACAGCAGTTCTCAAACTTTAGTCTGATAAGAATCATCTGATGTCTGGTGCACTTGTTAGAAATTGAGATTCCTGGGCCTCAGCCCTCAGATTCTGCACTTTAAATAAGCACTCCCATGACCGATGCCAATGGTCTCCCTTCTTAGAGAAGTGTTGCCTCTAAAAATCCAACCCTTCCTCCTCAGATGCAATGCTCATATGCTTTGATGCTCAGATGCTTCCATTCTGTAACTCCCTTTTCCTGGTCTACCATTAATTGTCTCATCCAGCATTTTTCAAAGGATATTTTGCAGTGCATCAATCCCAAGAGAAAAATCTTTGAAAAAAGTGTCCTGTGGTCAAATCTATTTGGAATACTCCACCCACCTTTTGGAAAGTAAAAATACTCATGGCCATGTTAAAGGCTCTGAGAAGTCCTGCAGTCAGTAAACCTCCCTGTCTTTCCTTAACCCAGGTGTGCCCAAACAGATTTGACTCTGTCACCCCTTTCTCTGGTTGTGTGGAGCCTGGTTTCTGGGCACACATTGGGCCATGTCCCTCTGCCCACTTGCTGCCCCCCCAACAGCAGGAGGCCAGCTTTCTGCCCAGGATTCGCCCTCCATTCTCACAGCCCCTTGCTCAATCCCTGTCCTTCCCTCTTCTCTGTTTCTTCATCAGGGGACTTTCCTCCGCCTTGGCCCTTGGAGCTTCCCTTCTGAGTCCTACTCCTTCCTCCCTGACCCCCTGCCGTCAAGGGCGATTAGCCTTGAGCCAGGCTGAAGCGTCTACCGGAAGAGGCGGTTGGCTGAGGAGCTGCGGTGGGCGAAGTTGTTGAAGAAGATCTCCAGCTCCTGGTCATTGTCAAAGTCAGCGGCGATGACTGTGCGGACAGGGGAGGGCATGGAGAACTTGGGTGAGGCGATGTCCTGGGAGGAGAGAGGGCTGCAGGTTAGCGGGCAGAGGTGGGGGAGAGTGGGAGTGGGCGACAGGCGGACTCCCCCCACTGTGTGTCTGTGGGGTGCAGTCAAAGATAAAACACAGCCCTACCTAACATCTCCCCTCATCTCCCGGTTAGGGACCTGCAGTGGCTGTATCAGGACCAGAGGGACCTCAGGCTGCTTGTAGAACAAGGAGGTAAGAGGAACAGTCCCAGTTCACACCAGTGAAGCTCTTCGCTATTCCCTAGTTTGGATCAGGTGTAGCCCAGCCGTCAGTCCCCGGAGGCAGCACAGACATTAGCACTCCCATTTTACAGGTGAGGTAACTGAGTCCTGGAGAGGGAGGGGACTTGCCCATAGTCCTAGCTAATGAGTGGGGCTGTAGCCAGGGCTTCTGATTCCAGAGGCAACACCCTTTCTGGTAGGCATCCTTCCTCCTCCGCAGTGAGAGTCAGAAGCTGGGTGGACACTGGAAAATGCTGTGCATTTGAATCCAGGCTTCTCTGCTGACTTGCTGTGTGATCTTAGGCAAGTTACTTAACCCCTTGGATCTCACTTTCCTCATCAGTAACATGGGGATGCTAATAGCTGCCCGGATGTGAGGACTGCATGTAAAATGCTTGGCACAGAGGGGCATGAGATGGATCACGGGCAGTCTGTCCTGGCCTTGTGTCTGCTGTCAGCCTCAGGGAAGGTGGCAGCGGTGGCCGTTAGCTGTTTTTGCTACCTCTGTTACCCAGTGTGGTTTCTTGGGAGTCTGTTGATTTTTTTCTTTTTGAGATGTTTGCTTTGGAGGGTTGCAGTATCAGATACAGCCGTCCAGGGCTCATGAGGAGACCGCAGACCCAAGACAGCCCAGCTTCGACCCCAAAATGCTGACAGGGCCTCGGTGGACCTGCCAAAGGGTCCCAGGTGTGGGACTTGCCTTTAAAACAGAAGAAGAGCTGTGTAGGGTGACCTTTCATTTCTGAGCAGAATACACATTAAAAGTAGGTTTGTCCCTTAAAGACCTCAGGAGCCTGTCTAAATCGCAGGCCCATGTGGAGAGGGCTGGGAAAGGCACAGGGGGTGTCTCTGGGAGTTCCCTCTGCCTCTGGGCCTGGCCCTGCCTCAGGCCTCTGACTGCAGGCCCTCTCTGTTGGCTGCAGGAATGAGCTGCTTGTTCTGGGGAGGCCAGGGAGGGAGGCTGTCCCCATCAGTGCAGTAAGGAGGCTAATTAAGAGCCTGGCCAGCTGGCCTGGGTGGGCTGAGCAGGGCCTTAAGAGCTGGGAACAAAGGGACCTCAGGATCTCTAAGTTGTTATTATTCTATTGATCCTGTAAAAATGGAAACCTACATAGCCCCCCTTGGGGCTGCCCCCTTGGATGCCGGGGCCTCTGAGATCATGTATGTAAAGTGCTTGGCACAGTCCCTGGCACATGGAAGGCACTTGATAAATGGGCGTCTATTATTATTATTATCATTGCTCCCTGAGCTCTGGGGAGCGGCCGTCAGAAGGTGAGCAGGGTTCCTCCGCCTCGGCACTGACATTCGGGACTAGATCGCTCTTTGTTGTGGGGCTGTCCTGTGCATAGTAGGACACATAGCAGCATCTCTGGCCTCTGCACACTAGATGCCAGCAGCACCCCCATCCCATTTGTGACAATCAAGAACGTCCCAGACATTGTCCAATGTCCTGGGGTGGGGGAAAATTGCCCCTGGTTGAGAACCTGGCTCAGAACAAAAAGCTGAATAAAGATGAAAATCATCCAGGATCCCAGAATCAACTGCCCCGAGTTCAGGACACACCTCCTCTCCACCCAGAGGGAGTGGATGGGCCTGAGAACCCCAACGCAGCTGCCTACAGGGGAGGGAGCTTGTGGTGGTCACCCAGACATCAGGTCCCCAGAGACTTCCCTGAGTCCATCAAGCCTCAGACAAATGTTGGAATTTTCTCGTTCTCTCAGAGGTTTTTGGCAAGACCTAGATACCTCCAGAACAAGCCTGACTCCCTGAGATCAGCTTCAACCATCCCATACCCTCCATAGCCCTTCCTGAGAAAGCCCCAAACCACGCTCATCAGGCTGGTGGCACCTCCACTACTGTCACCAAACAGCCCTTTTAAGGAATTCTTGGCATCACAGTTTGGAAAGCTCAGGGAGGGGGCACAGAGAGGGATTTGAGGTCACCTTGCCTACCATCTGCCATTTGTTCTTAGGGGGAAGCTGTTGGGAGCTCTGTGGCCTCAACCTCCCCCGCCCCCCATCCCCCAATGCACCCTTGGCCTGAATCTCAATTTGAAAAGCTCAGGCCGGGGCTACAGATCAGGTTTTCCAGGAGCCACCAGGAAAAATGCCCTCAATCCAGAGAATGAAGTCCTCCTCAGGGGGCCTCCTCTGCCCTGCACCCGCCCACCTTGGGAGGTCGCTCTCCCTCCTCTGCCCACCGCTCTCTCTGCTCCAGGAATTACAGACACCACAGCAGCCCAGGCTGGAGTCCATCGTCCCCCAGATGTTACCTTCCTTGTGGCCCCTGCCCTCAGGCTCTGCAGAGTCACAAGCCCCTTCTCAGCCTGGTTGGGGACACATGCCCAGGACACACCAGGGCCACTAGCAATGCCGGTGGCGGAAGGAAGGGAGGGAGGGAAAGGCCCCTTCTTACCCGAAAGCGGACCTTCCCGTGGGCACTCATCTGCAGATAGAGGCGGTGGGGGCCGTTCCAGTTGCCATAGACAATGTCCACTTTGCCATCACGGTTGAAGTCAGCCAAGGCGACACCTCGCCCATGCTGGTGGGGGTCGTCCACACCTGGGAGGAAAGGCAGGCGCCCTCAGGGCAGCGCCCCCTGCAGGCTCCACAAACACTCACCCTGCCGGAACTCCATGGAGAGCAACAGGGAGCGCCACCCTCCTGTCCCTGCCCTCCTGGGAGCAGACGGGGAGACACAGCTGCCATCTCGGAATTTCTCCTTAGGGGCAGGAGGTGGGACAGCCACCTGGTCGCAAAGGGGACCAAAGACTTATCTTCAAGCAGCATTTGCCCAGCAAGCACACTATTTTTGCTCAGTTTTGGGGTGCATGGGTGGGGGGAAGGTGGAAATTCTGGAGGACTGAAGCCCTCCCCAGCCACCCCCGACACTGCCACTAGGTGACATTACATTGATTGTCACTCTTTTGCTTAAATCTCTCAGTGGCTCCCCCATACTCTCGGGTCAAGTTCAGATTCCTGCTCGGGGAGTGCAAGGCCCCTGCCCGCCTTATCTGGCCTTTATCTGGTACCACTCTCCCCCTTACTCATCAGGTCTGGCCACCCCATGTTCCTTTCATTCCTCAAATGAACCAAGCTCTTTCCAGCTTCTGGGCCTTTGCTCAAGCTGGTCTCTCCTCCTGGAATGCTCTTCCCCTGGCTCTTGGTTATCCGGCTCCTTGTTTTCTTCTGCTCTCAGCCACAACGTCACCTCCTCAGGGAAGCCTTCCCTGACCACTCTCCCGAAAATAGCCCCTCCATCCACCCTATTATTCACCCTGACTGCCTCCCATTCTTTCCCTCCATTGTGCTGATCACATGTGCAATTATATTCCTTTGCTGTTTACTCGCTTACGGCCCTGTTTTCCTACTGGACCTTATGCTCCATAAGGTCAGGGGCTATCTTTGTTAACCTGTGTTCACACAGCATCTATCTCAGGGCCTGTGGTGGTTTTCAGTAAATACTTGCTGAATGAATGAAGCAATATAAATAATTTGACAGAAGGCAACTGGGGATGTTGGTGACAGCAGAGGAAATACCGCACCATGACAGAGAAACCCACAGCATGCCTCGTGAGATCTAGGAAGGGAAGCTTGTGTGTCCAACGTCACCTACTTACACTGTGCCTGCATCTGCCAGTGGCCAGTGGGACTGAGCCGATCCTGGGGGAGGACGGAGGGTGGCTTGCTCAGAGGACGGCCTGACCTCCTGGCTACCCAAGATAAACACGTTCCCTCAGATCAAGTGTGGAGCAGAAAGGTGGTGGATGCCAGCTCTAAATACCCGTGCTGACTCTTTCGGAGGACAAACTGCCATTGGTCATCAGGCCCTTGGAGATGGTAGGCAATAGGACAATATAGTGGTGGGTGGGGATCACAGACCCCAGGGCACTGGGAGACCTTCTAGCTGCAAACACGGAGATCTTGAGGGTGGGAGCCAGGAGAAGGCAGGGGTGGGGCCCCTGAGAACGTTGGAGGCCGAGCACCCTCTTGGGGGGGGGCGGATCTGGAGGATGGGTGGGGTGGGGGGAGAAGAGGGAGTGAGACCCAGGCTTGAGAAAGAGGGTTTGCAAAGGAATGGGGGCAGCCTCTAACCCCTAGGATTAATACCCCATTAATTCTCTGCAAAAATCCCCAGCCCTAATGTCAGTGGCCTTCTGCATTGGCCCATTTCTCTCCTATCTATGAGGCACCTTGACAAGGAGCTGGTTCCTTTTCACGGGAATAATCGGTGCCAGGCTGCATTTCACAGCAGCATCTGTTTGGGTGATGAATGCCCTCTTGACATGTCTTGTTAAACCCCTGCAATCATTCTGACTTTCAATTACGGGCCTAGCACCTCTCCTCTCTCCTCCCGCCTGATACCTTCTCCCACTCCAACTTGTTCGCTCACCTCTGCTTCCATCTCTTTAACACCTTATCAAATCCTCTAGCTTTCCACCACCACCACCTCCTCTTCATCTTATGACTTTGCAGCAATAAGAAAGTTTGCTGCCAGAGTCTATAGCGCCAGGAGGGGTGAGCTGGGTGGGAGGACAGGCAAGGGGAGCTGCCTCCAACTTTAGCTTTGCCCGGGAAGAGAAGAGGGAAAGGCAAGGATGGGGAGCCCACTGGCTACAAGTGTGGGGGGTGTTCAGAATGGGAACTCCCGAGCAGAGGGGGGGCAGCGGGCACTCGTAAGTCACAGAGAATGGACTGGCACATGCCCAGGGGTTTGATGCTAGCTGTCAGCACCAGCTGGAGCTTGCAGGTCCTTTGACCTATGTGTCTAGATCCCCGCTCCCCTCTTCTTCCGGAGGCCAGAGCTCGTCCCTATGCTGCCAAACCTTCTGTTCATTGGCAGGGTGGGGAGAAGTGGCTGAAGGGCAGACTGATTACATCCACAAACTTATCAAGTGTCCATTCTGTCATTCGGCAAAATTTACTGGGTGACCACCGCGTGCTGATCATTGTGTCAAGAATGAATAGAACGGTGCCCAGTCCTTGTTGACATAGACAGATTACTATAATGATGTAGAAGCCTGGGTGAGAGGTACATGCAGGGACAGTGGGAACACAGAGGAGGGACAGACACCAGTCTCTGCCAGGCACCATAGAGGGAGGCAAGAAAGGCTTCACAGATAACATCTGTGCTGAGTGTTGAAGGATAAATAGAAATTCTGCAGATAGAGAAGGGGAAGAGGGCACTTCAAGGAGAGAGAATAGCAGGTGCAAAGGCCCTGAGGCATATGAGGGATGAGCACAGAGGGAGGAAGGGGAGCACAGCTGGGAGCCTGCAGCACTGTTTTGCGTGGATTTTATTCTGCTTCTTATTATAGCGATTTGTTTATTTGTCTGTTTCCCCCTCTAGAATGTTAGTGCCTTGTGTGTATGTATGGGGCGGGGGTGGTTATGGTGGTCTTAGCCCATCCAGGTCAGCATCCCCAGCTCTTAGCACCAGCCTGGCACTTAGCAGGGGCTCAATAAATGGTTATTGGATTGAACTGAATGTTTAAGACAAATGGAGGGCGGGTGGAGAGAGGCAGCTTGGAGGGGAAATTGATGCTGAGAGACTCAAGCAGGACTCAGAGGAACGTGGGCCAATTCCAGTTGCTAGAAAATGGATAATGGTCAGGAGTTCAAGCCCCCACTCCCCCCCAGCAGCAAACATCCCGTGGCCTGAGCCATGGGGGATGTGGAATTGGAGGTGACAAGCAACGTTTCCCTATGTGGTGCAGAGAATAACTTGTCCCGCTCTCCCTGAGGCCTGTGGGGTCATGTGGGAGGGGGCAGGGCAGCCCAGAGTCCTCTGTGGGTGTGGGGGGCTGGGGGACACAGGGCAGTGGCTGCACTCACCAACGCTGGCAGCAGCGTCCACGAAGGTGCCGTCGCCCCGGTTGTGGAAGAGGAAGTTGGGCCCATTCTCGTTGTCACAGAAGATATCCGAGGCGCTGCTGCTGAGGATGGGACCCACGCTGACACCCCGGCCCCCTAGGAGAGGACATGGATCCACAGTAAGTGGCAGAAGCAAAGCCCAGGCCCATGTGGAGGATGGGGGCTGCCTCTGTGAAGCTGCTATGGTGATGCCTCAGAAGAGCCAGGGTGGGTGAATTCCGACCGTCTGGATATATCCCTGAGCCCAGATTTGGGCTCACAGCCCCATCAACCTGTGTGGAGGGTGACCATACTGATGATGAGGCAAGTGAGGAGCAAGATCGAGTCACTTTGTGCCAAAGGAATGATTCCATGACCTAAGGAACACAGAGGCCACCACACAGATCCTTCTCTTCCCCTTGGTGGCTGAATTACAATAATCCTAACCCCAGCTCTACCTACAACATCTGGATCAAGTCACAGATTTCCCTGACAACCCCCAGCCCCACCCTGGGTCACACATATGCTGGTCAAGACATGGAGTGTGTTCCTGTTCTAAGATCCTATAGGAGTAGCTTCCAGCTACAGGTACAAGGATGCTTACTCGACTTTGTCTGACGTAGTAAACAATTGGCAGCAATCTGCATGTCCATCAACAGCGACTGGTTGATGGATTACGGTGCATCCATACGACGGACCATTCTGCAGTGACTAAAAAGACTGGTAGATCCATATGTATTGACTTGGAGGAGTGCCCACGACATATTGTTAAATGAAAAAGCAATTTGCCAAGTAATAGTATTGTGTGATCTAACTTCTATTAAAAAAATAGGAAAATACATGATATTTCTGGACTTGTTTGTGCAAGCTTGTTCCTGAGTTTGGGGAAAAGCGGGACAGGCCACACCTCGAGCTGTTCACAGTGGTTACCTTTATAGGGTAGGAAATGGGGAAGGAAAGAGAGATGGTAGTTGGCCTTTTTCTTGAATGTCTTTGTATTGTTTGGCTTGTTGCAACAAGAATTGGTTCTGTAGTTTGAAAGGAAAAAATCCAATAAAGTGTATATTTTTGAAGACAGAAAGAAATCAAGCCAGCTCTACATTAGGTTTGAAGTCTCCAACATCAAGAAGTCCAATCTTTAGATGTCTTGAACAAACCACCCCCAACCAGTAGGTTTTAAATGAAGCCCCCGAAGCCACACTCCCAAACATTGGAAATACTGTGCAGAACACAGCCTGACCAGGATGAGGACATGGATTCTAGTCCCTGCCTGGCTTTTTATAAGACTGTGTGACTTTGGGCAATTTATCTTACTTGTGTAGCCTCAGTTTCTTCATCTGTAAAATGGGGCTAGCGTGACCTGCCTTTTCTATTTCAGGGTTTTTGAGAGGATCAAGTGAGGTGAGAGATGTGAAGGTCTTTGTGAATCCTACAGCCTCGCTACTCAGAGTCAAGTCCGTGGACCCGAGGTGGGCGCATCACCTGGGAGCTTGTTAGAAACGCAGAATCTCAGGCCCCAACCCAATCAGGACCTGCATTCTAACAGGTCCCCTGGGTGGTTTACGTGGACAGTAAAGTTTGAAAAGTGCTGCTTAAAGGGCTGTTCAGTATGATAAGAATAGTTATCAGAGCACTCAGAAGAACTTGGTTTTTTAAAAATAAATGAGAGCTCAGGCAGACATGAGAGTTGTTGGGCCAGGTCCCCCTGCCTGTCTGCTTCTAGATGAGGGAGAGATTTCCACAAAGTGACTGTACTAATTTGGGATGGAGGTTCTCTTGGTCCCCATGATCCTACTGTCCTCTGAGAGATGCCCCTGGAGGAAATCATGGGGCCATTCTCACCTGTGCAAATGGAGCCTGCCCACCAGGGCTGGCGTTTGGGGCCCGGGGACAGGGTGGGGCAAATGGCACTGCCACTTGAGTTGCTCTCATGGTTGGGCTCCTCGTTAACACATTCTGGGCCCTGTGCCTCCCGAGTCCTCCCAGGTAATCTAATTAGCTTTCAAGGAGAGCCCAAACCTCACGAAAACAGAGTCACTAAATCCACAAAGCTTCTGGGGAGCGTCATCCAAGATGTGGCATGTGCTTTTCATTAGGACGCTTTCAGCTGCCTTCCCTGAAGCCAGCAGGGAGGGATTCTGCGCTACAACCTGGGCGCCACTTCTGCCCATTCAAAGAGCTGCCGTCGAGTGGCTGCTGGCAGCTGCCCTGCCCTGGTCCTGCCAGACTCCAGGCCAGGAGCAGGCTGCCGGGAGAAACTCTCGGCCTCATCCGGGCCCCCAGCCCCCAGAAATTCCAGGCGGGGCTCCGGGATTTGCCGCCATGCAACTCCATCCTTCCTTCCGACTCCGGCATCCTCCCATTTCCTCTCTGCCTCTGGCTCCCAAGCTGTGACACATTCTCTTCATTTTCTACAAAGCAGGTTATTTCCCTCTTGGACAAATTTCTAAATCTTTCTAATTAACTAATTGGGTTGGGTTGAAGCCTTGCACCATTTGTAACCTGTAATTACTAGAAAATTGCCATGGTAACCACACTACTAATTAGTGACAATTTATTGCCATGGCAACCAGACCATAACAGAGATGTTACCCACAACTCTTTCTTGGCAAGTTTGCTGCACAGTTGGAGAGCAGGTGAGTCGACAGTCAGGGAGCCAGCCTCTTGGGCACTGGCCCCAGCAGCCTCAGGATGGAGGGCCAAACTGGGGTCTGAGGCGGGACAGCCAGGTGTCTGTACCCCTCGCTGATGCTGCGGGGGAATCTGCTCTCAGGTCAATCATGTAAGTCCTCTTTAAACCAATAAAATCCATCCATCCTAGGTGTAGCCTGACGCTCCCACTACCTGCCCGGTTCACGATCGAGGCCTCCTATTCAGCAAGTATCTTCTACCCAGACCTTTCCCCTCCTCCCCCAGCTCTTCTCCCTTCTCCATCACACCCACCCTGTCTTCCCCTCCTAAGTGGTAGCACATCCCTTATGGGGCTACCGAGGGGGCAGTTAGGAACATCTTCATTTAGCCTTGGGGGAATGATGTCCCATAGGGAGTTAAACGCCATTTCACATCAATTAATTCTTGTATCCTTGAGGCCAGCACATCCTCCTGGGGACAAGCAGTTCCCCACTTGGGGCTGGAGAGGCAGCCTTGGTAGTGGGAAAGACTGGGGATCAGAAAGTTCAAGCTGTGTGTCCTTGGGCATGTCACTGAACCTTTCTGGGTGTCTGTTTTCCCACCTGTAATGTGAGACTGATAATAATAATAGCTCCTTCTCAGGGCTGTCATAAATATTAAGTGAGTGTTTTTTGGAAGGTACCTTGGAAAATGTCAGGTGCCACATAGTCATTAGCTGGGACTATTTCCCACCTGCTGGGTGAATAATATCCCTTTATTTTCCTAGCACTTTCAAGATTCAAAGGCCTCCTTGTTCTGCTGTTGGGTGTGAATGCTGCTCCCTGCCCTCCCTTCCTGAAGTCTTCTGGCTCTGCCCACCAGGCTGGGTGGGAGCAGTGGAGTTACAGGGGAAACGTGCTCCCCCACGACCCCCTATTCCTCCTGCCACATTCTGGCACACCCTCTGATGATCTGCTCATTGGGTCTGAGTCCCAGGGGGCAGCCTCGCTTACCCTTAAGAACTGTACCCCTAAACCTCTGAACCCCCACACTTGTGCGATGCAGACTCAAGTCCAATTCGGGTGCAGGCGATCCATCTCTCGGATTGCATCTGGGCCAGCCCTTGGAGGTGTGTGTGTGGGGGTGAGGATGAGAAAGAGAGGCTGTGGGGAATGGGGGGGCACGTGCTGCTGAACCACCACAAACAGTGGGCCGGAGGACCCAGGGACGAAGAGAAAGGGGGACTGGCCACGCTAAGGAAAAGCCTCTAGGTTCTTGCCCCGCCTCTGTGCCCTCTCCGGCTGCAGGAACTTGGGAAGTGTGCTCTCCAGGCCCTGCTCTCCCTCCCTGTAAAATGGGTGGGAGAATGAGAAGATCTCCAAGGCTCCTTCCACTCTACTTCTCAGTGCATCCTCCAGGCTGGACCACAGGATAAGCGTGGTTGGGAGTGGATTCCCAGGACCATCTAGAGTCCACACCGTGGAGGCTCTGAGGCGAGGCCCATTGGCCAAGGAATTTGGACCCAGGGGATTATTCTGCTGATTAATTGATAGAAATATGATTCTGGTGGACGCCAAGGCCTGCAGGCTGCCGGGAACATCCAAGATATTGTAAAAGAGAAGCAAAACCACTAGAAAGTGTAGGGGTGGAGGAATGGGCAGTGCGTGTGTGTGCACGGCGCACACACATGTGTGTTGGAGAAGGCGGTGTGAGAAGGGCAGGATGTTAACAGTGTCTCTTATCCCAAACTTCCCGAAAATTCTAACAATAATACTGTGCTGGGGCTGGTGTTGCCGCCCATGAGCCCTCTGTGAGCCGTCTAGATGCTGGGCACGGGTATGGAGGGTATTAGACAAGGACATTCCTTTGCCAATCCTTCCTGCCTGTCCCTGCAGGACATTGAGGGGGAGGTGGCCAGGAGGACAGCCTCCATCATACGCCTGCTGGTGGGATTTCCAAACCTCGGGCACCTGGTGGGCACAGGAGGGAGGCCGCTCCTCTCTGTGCGCCCCTCCAGATGGTGAGGGCGCTGGAAGAAGCTGTTTCAGGAGAGAGGGCAGGTAAAGGAGTGGCAGAGATAGCTCCTCTGGCCACCTGTTGTTCAGTCCTGTGGACGAGGTCTCTCCGCGGTTCGTCTCACCTCCCCATCTTCTAGGTGAGGAAATGAGGCTCAGGGAGGCGCAATCACAGCAGGTAGGCAGTGGATCACAGTTCAGACCCACGTCTGAGTGACCCCAGAGCTGTGCTGTCCCCACAGCACGCTCTCAAACGTCTCTACTAAAGGCCCCGCTCAGCGGAGGAGGGATCTGTACTCTTGGAAAGGCCCAGAGTGACCAGCCACAGGCTGGACACTGCTTTAAAATCGTTTTAGCTGAAGAAAATGCGTACCAAGATTGCATTTGTATTGTATAACATAGCTGTGCTTGTTTTAAAAGAAAAATGATGTCCCTTTCTGTCAATCATCTAACACATCTGACATCCTGTGCATGCTGGTGCTTTGGGTACCCCTGGCAGGCTGTGGCTGCACTCCCTGGGAGTCCTGGGCCCTGGCCGAGGAGGCTGTCACTCTAGCCCTGCCTGTCCCCGCCTGTCAGCTCCGCCTGCGCTCCCACTGCAAGGCTGGTGCCCGCCTGGGAACCTGGGAGGCTCTGTGGCCCCCACTATGCCACCCCTGGTCACCTCTCTGGGGCCAGCTGGTGAGATCTGCCAGGAGGCCTCAGCTGGGCTTCAGGATCTCCATCTCCTCCAGTAATGACTTCCTATAAATCAGATCTGCCCTCTGCTTTGTTCTGCACTGCTCCCAGCCAACAGCAAAACTCCCTACCCAACATCATAAATCCACCTTCATTTTCTTTCCAAATTTCTCTTAAGGCTTCTTTGATCACCACCTTGCAACCCAGACAGATGCTCCCTAAAAGGATGAGGCCAAAAGGCAGGGATCCTGGGGATGGGGTAGAGGCCTGTGGAGGCAGGGTCAAGAGGGAAGAAGGGAAGAGGGATGGTTCCAGTGGAGAGGGGGTGAAGATGCCCACGCTTGTGCCCCGGGCTGGAGGACACACGGGGGGATACACAGAAAATGCCTCCAGGGCAGGGCTGGGCCTGCTTGCTTTGTGCTCCCCTGTGCCTAGCATGGCGCTCCCTACACCCAGGAGATACCCAGCAGAGGGTCCTGGCATCACTGTGTCAGGACCTTAGAGGAGGAGGGTGTTGATATTTGCTGCACTCAGTGGGCATGACCCCTGTGCCACGCCCCATGCCAGGCATGTCCTATATTTACCTCCTTTCATTCTCACAACACCCCCATTTTGCAGATGAGAAAACTGAGGCCCAGAGAGGGTAATAAACTGTCCACTGCTGCCTGGACTGGAGGACGTGGTGGAGGCAGGATCTGCAGCCTGCACTCTGGCTCCAGACCCTGTCCTCTTAGCTGCTCTGCTAGACCGCTAGTTCAAGGTGCTCAGAGAGGCTGAGAGACACGCCCAAGGTCACTGGGTGGCAGAGGCAGTGCAGAGCTCTTGGTCCCCACCTTCCCCCTCCTTGGGTTCCATGCCAGGTCCTCTGCCATGGGGAGAACTAGTTCTCAGGATTCCCATGCAGGGCAGTTCCCGGCGCGTCCAGGCTCCAAGAGGCTGCGGGCAGTGGGGGACATCAGGGCTTGGGATTCTCATGGAACCAGGAACCACGGGGAATGGCCTTCCCTCTGCTCAACTCAGCACCAGCGGCTCTCGCACCACCACCCTCCAGGGGCCCTTGAGTACCCCAGAGAGGGCACGCTGGCCACTAGATGGCACTGTGACCCAGCGGAGCAGCGGCTGCCAGAGGAATCCATAGCCTGGCGAGGAGGCCTCCCCTCCCCCTCCCACAGAGCTGGACAGCCCCGGTGCAGGCAGCGCCATTGCCTGGTCTGCCCACGGGGTTGCCGGGCCTCCCCCTGCTGCCCTGAGCACCCCAGGCCAGGCAGCGGCCTCAGCCTCAAACACCGGGACCGCAATGCAAGTCCTGAGTGCCAGTCCCCGGGGGGGGCTGCGTTCCCGGTGGGTGCGGGCCTTCCTCCTTCACCAGCCCCTCCAGTCTTGCAGGCTGGAGCAGGATTCTCAAGCTGGAGGTCATCAGAAAGGTCAGCTGGTTGTGGCAGTTTAGGCATCAGGGAACAGGGCTTTCCGTGCTAGTTTCTCTACAAACCTCCTGTGCGACCTTGGGCAAGTCCCTTCTCATCTCCGGACCTCGGGTTTGTTCTTTTGCAACATGCGAGGTCCTCCGAGGTCTGTCCAGCAGATGGGTGTTGTGTGGCTTGGCTCCGGACCTACAGCTCCCTGATTGCACATCTGGCCGTGGCTTCTTCCCTCCCAGCCTGCTCAGGGCCCTGCTCCTCACTGCCTGCTCCACCCCCCACAGCTTCCCAGGCCCCCTGGCACCGGCCTGGAGCTGAGCACTGGCCACGTGCCAGAGCCTCAGCAATCAGGCTGGGCTCTGCGTGGTGGCTCTTACATTTGGGGCCCATTCCTGGAGCTCAGGGGGGCTCTCTGGGCTAGTTTTCCAGCCAGATGTCCATGTGTTGCTAACGGAGTGACAACGGGGGCTGCAGGGTAGAGTTGGGGGGCTTGGCAGGCAGGGGAAGGGTGTGCTGAGGCAGGTGGGCAGACAGAATAGTAACTTGGTGGGCCAAATAGGTTCTTGTCAGCCAAATGGCTCTGCAAGTCTGCAAAGCTGCTCTAACGTGTCCTCTGGGCACGCCAGCTGCCCCGGCCTGCCTGCACGCTCCACAGAAGCTGCTGTCCCTTCCTTGAGCTGCTCTGTCCTTCCAGCGCAGCCCAGCACAGTTGGCTGGTGCTCCCATCCCCATCGGTGCTCCTCAGCTGTCTCCTCTTGGTCCCCTCCTTCCCCCTCCTCGGTTCCTGCCAGCCCCTCTGCCAGCCCAGCCAGCGTGAACAACGTCCCCTTCATGCTCAAACCCAGCCGCAACCTTCTGAATTCTTTTATTCTGTGTATAACCCTCTCTCCCAGACCTCGTCTCCCTTCCATCTCATCATTTTCAAGAGCTTCAGCTCTCCACCCTCCTTCTTCTGCAGATCAAGGCACTTAATTGCCAAGCCAGCCCAGTGCACAGAACTGGGAACTATTCAGAAAAATTGACTGTACAAATCTAGCTGGAGCTCCTGTGTGTTTCTTCCTTTTCCCAGGATAACGTGGTTTATTACTGACACGCAGCCTTCCCGCTGCACATTCACGTGTGGAGCTCTCGAGCACTCTGATGGGGCTTGAGCTGTGCAAACTATTTTATTGTCTAGTCATTTGTTCCCACAAACTTTGTCAGACAGGTCAACATTAATCTCCCCCTTTCACCGAGGTGGAGAGCTGGCTAGAGCAAGGCATCATAAACTCAGGGGAGGACTGACAACCCTCTCTGGGCAGGACTTTGAGATTATGGCACCACCCAGGTGTCTAGAAGCAGGGGGACTGCACAAGTGACCCCTCAAGTCCCGCCACCCAGCCCCAGGATTCGGATTCAGGCAGGCTGCCACTTTGGAAGTCTGTAGGGCAAGTTGGGACGGATACATGGGGAAGGTCAACCAACGGGAGAATTTCTACATCCAAAGCACGGGTTGGGTGTGAGTGAGGCCGAAGTTCACGTGAGAAGTTGTGCACAGCTCTGGCTTCTGATTCTTGGCACCCAAAACAGGAACTGGATTGCTCTACCATCAGCAGTCTATTGGCAGATGATCAGACTTTAGTCAGCAGCCAGGCTGGAATTAGAAAAACAGCTCTCCCTAGAAAGATCTCCCTGTCAGAGACTCTGACAATAGGTCCCCCATCCAGAAAGAAGCGGGGGGAGTGTGCCTTCAAAGAAAGTGCTGGAGAGGTTTTGGAACAAGAACACAATTCTTTGAGCTCAGTTATCCGAGACGGGACCCAGCTGAAGCTCAGGGATTTAGCACTCAATTCCTGGCCGCTTACGTGTAAGTAAATAATTGCATCTGCTGTTTGGCAATAAAGAATGCTTTAAATCTTGGCCTTTGCGATTTGTCAGTTTTCTGCTACAGAACCTGTTCACCCATCATTCGGGTTATAGCAGGGAACTGGGCAGGGAATGGTTCCAGGGAGAGGACAATGTTGTGGTGTTCTCAAACTAGGTCTGAGGTCCCCCACTGGGTCCCCCCAAAGCCCACACCTGCCAGATAGTTTGTCAGCCTTGGAGAGGCAGCACTGCAGGAGCCTTCTGTGGGTGGTGGGATGGAATACAGTCTTCATCCTCTCCTCCCCAGGGACACAAACCCACTCTCTCCTGGGGATCTCGGATGAATTAGACTTGGCCTGGCAGGGCCCGGACCCCAGCCCCCAGCCCCTCCAGCTCACAGCCTCTCGTGTCACTCTGCATACCTGTATATTTGCTGACCCCAGCCTCAGCAGCCACATCTCTGAGCGCCAGAATGCCACGGGAGAGGTCACTGGCCTCAGGGTCCATTTCAATGAGGGCATCAGGGCCCACGTTACCGTAGGCATAATTGGCGATGTAGATAGAGTAGCGTCCGGAGCCCTGAGGAGGAAGGGAAGCAGGGTGGGTGAGCGGGCCCGTCTGGGCTCATAACGGTCTTTTCCCCAGAAAGCGGCTCTCCCCCTCTTCCTGCAGGACGGTAGCTCTTTCACGGGGTGAGGTTCTTCTCCGCGGTCTGCTGTGCATGGCCTTGCAGGCTGGCCAGGGCACAACTCCAGAGGTGTTTTCACAGAAGCTACTAAGTGCATGACGCCCCCCGGAGTCCTACAGCAAAGCAGCCCTGCATCTCCTTCTATCCTGTTCCAGAAGAACACATCCTTCCCTCTCCCCCACAACCACCTTTTTATAGACAATTTTCTAATGTGCCTCCCTCCAGCTGAGCTCTCTCCAGCTGCCAGCCAGGGTAGCTGCTCAATAAATATTTGCTGATTGATTGATCTACCAGTTCTCATTATTCTCAGTCTCTCTCTCTCCCATTCAAGCTCACTCCAGCCAAGATGACAAGCAAATTCCTGAGCCATCTCCCTCCGCCCTTCCCACCCTGTACTTCTTCATTCCTCTATTTTGGTAGCACAAGAGACTCAGATATGCACGGGTCCTCCTTCCCTCTTCCATCTGCTTGTTTTCCCCATATTACCAGAAAGAAATATATTGCTTCTGCCTTTATAACACTGTCTCAAATATGTTTTTTCCTTTGCATCCAGGAGAAGCCCAGGGCGCCAGCTCCTTGCTGCTGTAGTCATTCTCTTCTCTAGTCCAAAACGTTGCTGATGAAAGATTCTTTTCTGTCTGTTATTATAATGGTGTTATTTCTTCAATGGATGCCTCCTTTCCCCCAAGAGATCCACACAATTTCCACATCAGTTTTCTAGCTTTCCTCTCACCCTGTTCATCATTTCCCTCCAATTAATCAGACAGTAGATATTTCTTGAGCTCCAACTACACGCAAGGTGCTCTGCTATAAATGTACTTAGGACAAAATCTTGATTCCTAGGTTGCTTATAGACAAGTTTAAAAGCAAGCCATAAACACAAAGCAACCCAAGAGAAGCAGCAGAGTTCCAGGCCATGAATGTGCTCTGTCACCCGCTCTTTACCTGCTTATATTTCTTACCCAGTGGCCCATGAGCAGAACCCCCATCTCATCTAACTGATCACTGACTTTGTACCTTCTTAGGGATCATTTTCTTTGGGGAAGCTGATTAAGAGCCACTGGGTCTGTCTGACTGGTGGGCAAGGCCAGTGAAGGAGCTCAGGGTCTCCTGGAGGATGTGGACACGTCAACAATCAGACAACTATATGCATGATTTAGAGAGAATGTCCAGGATTTCCTGGGTGCAACAAGGGGGGCTCCTAACCCAGAGGAAGGGCACCTAGCCATGGGAAGTTCAGAAAAGGTTTTCTAAGAGGAGTCTCAGCCAGGTGAAGTGGAGGGGAAAGAACCTTCCAGGCAGAGATGAGACAGGGAATGATGCATGCGGGGAAACCACAAGCAGTCCATTCAGTGTTGCTGGAATGTAAAATGCAAGGCAGGGCGTGTTAGGGGACAGAGCTGAGGAAAGGGGCAAAGCTGTTCCCTAAGACTTGTATGCCCCTTCTTTTTTACTTATCTGAGTTTCTAACCTGCTTCCTGGGAATCCCTGGTTTATAAATCCTGTTACTCAAAGTGGTCCCTGGGCCAGCAGCATTGGTGTCATCTGGGAGCATGTTGGAAACATGAGGCTCAGGCCCCACCCCAGACCTGCTGAATCGGAATCTGCATTTTCACAAGGTCCCCACGTGATCCCTTTGCAAAACTGAAGGCTGAGACACACTGCTTTACAATACGGCTTCATGATTAGGCGAGAACTTTGAAAGCTTCTTGCCCATCATGGGAGCCCAGTACATGTGTGTGGAATGATTAGATGAAGAGTGAATGCATGGGGCCACAGGGGCCAGTGCGCCATCGCCATGACTGTTCCCGACCCTGCCAGCTGTTGGCAATCTCATCAACAAATGGCAATTAAGCCCAAATGAACTGAAACGAACTCTGCCGGAAATTAGGATATTTATAAAATTCAGTTATACCTAATTTCTTACTTCAGTGTATTGGGGTGATGAAACTGACCAACACAGATGTGTTAGAGCTGTGGAAGAGTGCAGAGATTCACATGCGAACTTGACTGCAATTAATTCTGGGAGGGTGGGATGACTCCAGGGGAAGGAAGATGTTTCTGCAGCTTGTGGGTCCAGGGCAGTGGGTCTCACCCTTTAGCGTACATCAGAATCACCCGGAGGGCTTGTTAAAACATGGATGCTGTGTCCCATCACCAGAGTTTCTGATTCAGAAGGTCTGCAGTGGGCCCCGAGAATGTGCATTTCTAACAAGTTCCCAGGTGAGGTTGATGCTGTTGGTCTGGGAACCACACTTTCAGAAGCACTCGTCTAGGGATATTATCCTGGGTCCTATTCCAGGCTCTGCTCCTAAGGGGCTCTATGTCCTTGGGCAGGTTCCTCACCCCCTTTGGCTGCATCTCCTCACGTGTTAAATGGGGATCATATTCCCCCTGCTTCCTGGCAGGGTCGTTGAGAAGATGAAGTGAGACAACGCATGTGAAAGGTCTTTGAAAGATAGAAATGCTATATAAACATGAGGCATAATCATTACTGATCAGGGAACGCTTCTTGTAAGAGATCGGCTTTGAGCTGGATCCAGAAAGGTGGGTGAGTGATGAGGCAGCTGAAGATGAAGGGCAGCGGGTGTTCCAGGTTTGGGGCAGAGAATGAATGAGGGCTGCAAGGGGAGAGAGAGAGAAGGGCATGCGTAGGGGTGAGACATTTACCCATGCAGTGGCTCTCAAACTTGAGCCTGCATCAGAGTCTCCTGCAGGGCTGGCTGAAACCCAGATTTCCAGGCCCCACGCCCAGGAGTTCTGATTCGGTAGGTCTGAAGGGTGGAGTGGGGTGGGGCCTGAGAGTTTGCATTTCTAACAATGCTGTTGCTGCTGGAGACCACACTTTGAGAACCACTGACCAGGTAGACTAAAGGTGCCAAATTGGGGCTGTGGGGCCGAGGAAGGAGTAAGATGAATGCTGTAATAGAACCTGTGGTTTGAAATTTATGTCTGATACCGGTTTACCCAGAGGCAGGGTAGCCAAGGGGTAAAAAGCCATCTGATTCCTTTTCAGGCAGTCAGGGCTCAATTCCTGGCTTCGTCTGCCACTTAACTATGTGACCAAAGTCAAGTTGCTTAATTGCTTGAAGCCTTAGCTTCCAGATCTGTAAAATGGGGATAATGATGGCATCTACCTCATAGGCTTATGAGAATTCAGTAGGATGGTGCATGTAAACCACTGGGCACAGGGCTCGGCGTAGTGCTGGGTTAATAAGCATTAGCTATTATTATTATGACTGCTCTTGTGTTTTCCTACATCTTGCTGCATTCTTCTCTTAACTTCCAGACCGGCCTTGACCTCTCCCTACTCCTCGCCTCCACAGGTCTCAGGCCCCAGGGATTGCTGAGGTGGTGGCCAGACACAGAAAGCAACCCCTCTCCTGGTGGCAGACCGACTGTAGGGGTTCTTTCTAGTTCCCCGAGGCTGGGACTGAGCAGGTTGCTAAGTGCCCGCCTGCTGCGCTGCAGGGCCAAAACCTCTTTTTTTTCATTTCACACGGTGCTTTTGTCCTGTGGTTAAACGCGTGGGTGTGCAGATGACCTTGTTAGGACAAAGAGTGCATCTCCTTGTGATCAACCTTCAGACCCTCCCACCAGATCTGAGAAGGTTCCCACCTTAGCCAAGGGTGGGAAGCCTTGGTGCTGAAAGAGTGAGACGGGAAGCCAGGAGGAGGCTGGGAAGAGGCCTCCAGCAGCGGCCAGGCCTGGCACCCCCCCAACCTTCCCCACTCTCGGGGGCCACTCACAGAGCTGCCTTCCCTCTCCCTCCCACCAGGCAGGAGTCCAGGTGGCACGGATTCAGGTCAGGGCTAAATGTGGCTTCGCAGCCCAGCTTGGCTTCTCTTCCCAGCAGCAGCTCGTTAAGAAATAAATATTTATACCTGGCACCTGCCTTCTCCCAAGACCTGGAGGCCCCTGCTGTGAAGATTCACGCTGAATCCCCAATCCCCTGAGAGTGCCATCTCAGGCCTGAAATGAGCCAGCCCCCTTACCCCTGCCCCCAAAATGGGGGCCAGAGACACTCCCGTGGAAGCTGGGCAGCAGCTGGGTCCCTGATTCAGTGATGACCGTTTGTAAAGCCAAGGAGGGGGTGGCAGGGGAGCAGGTGACAGGAGGGATAAATCACCTCCACAGCAAGCCTCCAGCTCCGGCTGGGGCTGCCGAGACGCAGGCCCGGGAGGGGCCCGCCCCACAGGGCAGATGGCTGCAGCTGCTGCTGCCCCTCCCCGCTCGGCCTTCTTCCCCATCCACGTTGGGTTGGCACCTTCATGTAGGGTGGACGAGCAGGGCATGAAGGCACTGATGGAGCTATTGATCAACCAAAGTACTTGCACATTCAGGCAACCCTCCACTCACCCACCAGGAGCCCCTCTGTCGTGCCTTCACTTGTTCCATAAATATTTATGGGATGCGCTATGGCTCAATGCCTGGCACATAGTAGGCACACTTAATAAATATTAGTTGAATGAATGAATGAGCACAGGATTTACACCTAGAAGATTCTGATGCATGTCCTAGCCACATGACTAATCTATTTTGGGTCCTCAGGCAATTCACTGCTCTAAGCTGGGCCTCGGTGCCCTCTGTCCAATGGACACAGTAATGACAGCCCCTGGCTGGCCTCCTCACTGACTGCTGGGAGGGCCACGTGAGAAAGCATATTGTAGCTCATCCTGCAAGCCTTAGTTGTTAGTATTTAGCTCCCACTGTGTACAAGGCACTGAGGGAGCTGCCGAGATGGTGCAGCCCTGGGCTCCTCCCTTGAGAGCCATACTCTGTCCACAGACAACTGCCTGTTGGCTCTCCTCCTGGCCCTTACATGGCTGTGTGCCCCCACTTCTTCCCAGGCCCCCCATGCACCCTTGAACTCACCGTCCTGTCCACGCAGGCCACAGAACGCCCGGCAAAGAGGCTGGCCACGCCGCGGGCCACGTTGACCTCATCGCTCAGGATGTCTTCCCAGTGGTTATTGCGGAACTTGAACAACTTGTCCGTGTACGTGGCCACCCCTGGAGAGAGGAGAAAGAGAGAGCTGGTGGGCGGTGGACCAGGGCGCTCGTATGTCTTGGGGCACCTGCCACAAGGTGGTTGGGCCAGAGGTGGCTGGGTCATCGGCTGCAAGGTGAGCACTCCTTGCAGTTCTCACTCAAGCAGGTGAGACTCCTCTGTTTGGTGGGCATTCAGGTATTTTCAGTTGAGAGAAGAGACTCTGAGTCTTACGAAAATGGCCAGCCCAGGCCATAGGAACTAGGGAAGAAATGTCACTGCTAACGTGTGTCTGAAATGCCCCTCCACAGCTGGATTTCACATTCTGCCCTGTGTTCCTGCAACATCATAAAGGAGATCCTGGGATTGCCAATATTTCAGCACCCAAACTCAACCCTACATTCTCTGCTGGATTGCAGGACCTGATTTGGGTCTAAGTGGTCCTGGCTGGTGGGTGGGTCTCTAAGTCCAGATGGAGGACAGGGCTGGCAGGTGAGCTCTGACAGGTCTGTCACCTCCACTCTCTGGGAACCAGATGGCAGTAGGACAGCACTCAGGGAGCGCTGGGATGCCTATAAGGCAGTGGTTTCCACCTCTTTGGGATACTGACCCCTTTGAGAACTGGATGGAGACTAAGGACCCTTAGTTCAGGGAATCGCACATCTGCACCACACAACATGCCATATGTCACCGCTGGAGGTCTGGGGCCTCCTGAAGCTCACTCATGGCTAAGAAGCTTTGTCCTGGGGAAGTGGGGAAGAACTTTCGGTGGCTGGAGGCTCAACCCTTTAAGGCCGCCAAAGCAGAGCTCTCCCCTCTGCCCGCACCCTTGGTTTATTTCTTGTTCTTATGAGACGCAGAACATTCATATTTAGTTGGGATCATGGGCTATACTCAAGGACTAGCATAGGAAACACAGGAGGGGAGCAGCTGAAGGAGTCAGGGAAGGTGAGTGTGGGGAAGAGTGGACTTGGGGACAGGACCCCTGGACTTGACTCTCCGCTAGCCCAGGGAAGAGCAGTAGGCTTAGACTGAAAGGGGCAGCATGGCACAGTGGTTACGACCTGGGGGTTTGGAGTAAACGGGCCGAGTCCCAGGCTTGGTTCTACCCAGATTCTACTTCTAGCTTCTAGTTTTGACTTTGGGCAAGTTGCTTAGCACCTCTGAACATTGGTTTTCTTATTTGTAAATGGGGACAATGATAATAACCACATTCAAGTTTACTGTGAGGTATACTTGAGATGATGCACATTAAAGGTTTAGCACGGTGCCCCCCCAGAGTGGACGGTATCAGGAATGATTATTCCCATTTCACAGATAAGATACTCCCTAAGGTCGGTGAGGGACATCAGCTCCGTACTGCAGGAGTGTGGTGAGAGCACGAGAATGAACGAATGAGAATGAGTGAGAGTGTCCAGGTGAACGCAAAAACGAGCGAATGAGAGTGCCAGCGCCAGTGTGAGAGTGAATGCGGATGGGAGTGTGAGAATAAGTGAGTGTGAAAGTGAGTGAGTGTGAGCGAACGTGTGTGAGATTGAGTGTGTGAGTGAATATGTGTGAGACTGAGTGTGAGTCAAGGTGAGTATATGAGAGTGTTTGAGTGTGAGCGTGTGTGGGTGAGGGCAGTATATACAGGATCCCTCAGGTGGCTCTGTCCAGGAGAGGACAAAAGGGTTTGCTCTCTGAGCGGCCTCACGCGGGGACGTCCTAAGGCCACAGGGACCCACGGGGCCGTGCATCATCTGTGGGTCTGGAGTTGGCCTCAGGGATGCTCGCCAGACCCCAGGAGCTGGCACGGGAGCAGAACCATCCTGCCTTGCCTGACCCTCCCCGGGGCACTGAGGCCCTGTCCAGGGGAGGGACAGGCCCTTCATCAGGGGAGCCGGGGAGCAGATCCAGGAGACCTGCGGGTGTTTGTTCAGGTGGCGGCTTGGGCCAAGCAGCTGCAGCTGCTGCTCTGCACAGCAGAGGGATGGCCACTGGGGCAACTGAGGAGCAGGTTCCAGACAGACTCAGATGGCCCGAGCCTGCGTCCTGCTCTGACTCCCGTTAGCTCCGGGGCCTCATCCAGCTCCTGATCCTCTTCCGGCCTCGGTTTCCTGTCTGAGAGTTAGGGTAACAGCTGTGCTGCCTCCCTCACAGCGTCACTGTGGGAATTACAGGGGAAATCGCACTGAAGCCCTGGCCCCGGGTCAGGCACCCCCAGATTGCTAACCCTAGCTCTGCACCTCCCCAGATCCACAGCCCCTCATTGCAATCCCCGGGGACCAGATGTGTTTAGAAATTTAGTTTTTCCCTTCATATTTTAGAAAGGTAACACAGTGCACACACCATTTATTACATAACGGCCCCAGCAGGGACTGGGGCGGCACCCCATAATTAAACACATTAACATTTCTGCAGTGAAATATTTGAATATTCACACCAGTGGGATAAATAAAGGCTATAAATAGCTCACGTCAGCTCAGGACAGGTTTTGCTATCAATTCATTTTCCCACAAACTTAAAAAAATCACTTGAGGCTTTCAGAGCATTTTGGATTTCAGGACTAGGGAAAAGAGACTGTGGAGCTAGACTGCCACCCTCACGCTGTTCCCGAGGTGGTGGCAGCCTTGTCATCGCTTCCTGATGCCTGGAGGGCCTCTGAGGATGGCCCTGCTGGCTTCCGGGTCTCCAGCCTTCACCAGCAGTGAGTGACCCTTGTCAAACCAGAGCCCCTTTAGACTGTGCCTCCAGCAGGGCTAGTCCCCCCTGAAATACCGAGGTTAAATTCTACCAAAGCTTGGGCTGGGGTGAGAAAGCAGCTGCCGGCAGCTGGGGCTCCAGGGAGCTCTGATGGCACCTCTGCATTCAGTGGGAGAAATGTCTCAAGCCACCGAGTTCCTGCCTCAGCTAGACAAGAGGAGAAAATGGCTGAGGGTGACCTCTGTCCACCTCTGTTTGCCTCATCACCTCCTATTCCTCATGCTCACCCAAGACAACATTTCCCAAAGCGCGCTTTGTGGAACCCTTGTCTCTGTGAGCTGCCTGGAGAAAAGATTTCACGGTCATCTGAGTTCAGGAAAGACCATACATTCCATACCCCTCTTGGAGATTCTCAATGGGCATCAGTCTATTAAAACTTTGAAAAGTCCTGCAATAAATTACCTGCTTAATTTTATTTAATCCAGCCTTTCCCAAATGTACTTGGCCATGGAACCCCTTTCTGCAGCTCACCTATCAGCATCCTGCAGAACTAACACTGCTCTTAGCAAATTGCTGCCCTAGGGTGTTGATGTCTGGTCAGGCTCTGGGCTTTGTGGCCAGAGGGGTTAAGGTGCCACGTGCTATTAGCCTCTTCCCCCGTTCCAGCCTCCTGGCTTCCGAGCTGACCAGGGAGGCCCAGAAGAATAAACTAATTAAGGTAAAATGTGCAACAGCGATGCAGAGCTTTGTAGATCATAAATGGGAACGGCAAAATCAATGGCAGCCCTTCTTCAGGCAGAGGCCCGGAGGCCTGGGCGACAGGAGGGATGGGAGCCCGTGATTTAGGAAGAGCAAACACTCTGGCAGCTGCAACCTGGGTAATTAGGTGTGTCAGGAAGACAGATAAACAGCGAGCTGTGCGGGTCGATGGCACAGGCAATAAACACCTAGCACTGGCCTCCGGCCCGTGTCAGCACCTAATCCTGCCTTCTGGCTCCTTATAGCTGCACCCTGTCCTGGGGTCCCTCACTGAGAGGGGGCAGCTGCTTGGGAGAGGAGAGGCTGTTAGCTGCAGGAGAGAGAGGCTCTACTGAGTCCCTGGGGGCGACTCTGAGAGGGCAGGGGCCTGGGAGAAACAGGAGGGCTCAAGGGCAGGGCAGGGGGCTCTGGAGGTCACAGCCCCCGTGAGAGGCACTCTGGGGATTCCCATTCCCAGCCTGACTCTGGCATCTTGGCATTAAAGGAGCCTTGAAGGTCTTTGAAGGTCTCAGGAACCACCAGTTGCTGTCAGGCGGCCAGTTGGGAAGGCCTGCTGGGTGCCAGGTTGGGGTGGGAGGCCACAGGGAAGTAGGAGTCTTGGTCTCTGACTCAGGGCGCTTATAGTCCATTTGACAACACGAGGGATGGGTAGAGGAGACACCATGGGACAGTAGTAAGACCAATAATAACTGATATTTCTACAGCACTTTCTGTGTGCCAGGCACTTCACAGATATTCTCTCATTAACCCTCACCATAACCCATGAGATGGTAACTATTTTCATGCCCAATTTACAGACGAAGTACATGAGGCACAAGAGAGAAGGGGACTTGCCTAAGATCCCACAGCCAGCAGAGCCCCTCGGGGCAGGACAGGACAGTACATCTGGGAGATGACATGAGGACAGAAGAGGCCACAGTGATCAGGGAGGGCTTCATGACAGAGGAGGCAACTGAATGAGCACTTGAAGGGTCAGAGTAACAACAGCAATGACTCCCAATTATAGAGCACTTAGTACGGCCAGGCTTTGCATGAAGTATTCTCTTTTACAACCATCATCTCGCCTAAACCCTGCAGCCCACCCTAAGAGATGGTGTAGCCCCATTTTACAGATGGAGAAATTGAGGGGCAGAGAGGTTAAGTCAATTGCCCAAGGTCACAGAGCTAGTAAGTAGTGGAGATGGAAAACCCAGGTCTTTCTGACTCCAAAGCCTGTGCTTCTGAGCACGGCACTCTACGGCTCAGTCAGGCAGAGAGGAGGGGTGGTGCTCTAGGCAGGCAGGGTGGCATAGACAAAGACACAGAGGGGACACTGAGTTTGTCTAGAGAGGAGGGTTTGTGCAGACGGAGGAGGAGAAACATGGCGGGGCAGGAGAGACCCACTAATTCCAGGATTGGGGGCGAAGCGGCCATTGGTGGTTTCTGATCTGAGGAATGGCAGAAGAAGACAGTGTTTCCAGAAGATTACTCCGGCAGTGGAGTGAGGGGTGGGCTGGCAAAGGAGAAAATGAAGTGGGGCGGCCACTGTTGCAGTAGCTCCTGCTTGACCCAGGGTGACGACAGTGGGGGTGGAGAGGAG